AGAGATTAGATGGCTTGTATTCAACTATTTGTAGCACGCACAGCAGCAGCAGCCGGGTTAGGAGCTCCTACTGAAGCGTGCCTCCCTTCCCGCGGCAGCAGCTGCTGTTACTCGCTTGTAGTCTACATTATACACATGCGGCGCCTCTCGTGAATGGGTATTTACGCCAATGTATACAGCGGAATAGACTATTTGCATGGGGACTGCCGTAGATGACAGCTTCGACGCCCTAATAGGCCCGCCCGCGGGCAGATATATGTACTACCCTGCCTGTTTTGTGTGTCCGTGGCTCGTCATCTCACTCTCGGGATGTTGCCGAGAAAACAAACAGCATTACAGTTGGCTTCTGCACGGCTGACGCTGCTACAACACAACTTGGGAGCAGCGAGCGCGGCTACTTTTGTATGCTTCTCTTACTATGCACGATAAGATTTCGACACCGAAAATTACCTGCCGTGCTGAAGCCTATCCGCGTATTCTGGTCTTTTATGTAGAGTCCCGTGATTTCCTGGGAGATAGGTACGCCGATGAGACCTAACGTTTCTGCCGTCAGATCCGACAAAGATTTTCTAACCATGGACGAAGAGCTGCCCTCGCCGATTTCGCTCTGCGGCGAGCGCGACAGCGGTACCCGCACGTGACAGACGATGTCGCCCCCCCCCCTGGCCCGACTTTCACAGAGTAGCCTTGTCTAATTTGTTGCGAAGGCTGTCCGACCTTTCAAGGCTCGATTATTCCACAGCCGAATAGAGGTGGTGCCAACAATGTCGGTGTCGGGACCGTATCGTCGGGAGCTTTCCGGAAGCTTATGCTACCATCATTTTTAATGTATGCTACTCTGTGTTGGGGTAATTAGTCTGTGACCACGGAAAGCGTCCGCGACAGTCAGTTTAACCAGTGCGGATATTGTTGGGTACTGAGCGGAGGCCGGAACGTTTGTTTGTTTATCGTGACGACAAGAAAACACCAAACGATCCCCTTGCATCGTGGAGGATTACACTGCTTTGAGAGCGAGGTCTGGGGTGTGTGACATATTTTGGTGTCGCCGACGGAACATCGATTGTAGCACTCGAACACATTTTTCTTTCTCGTCGGATGAGCTCCTTTGTTATCCCGATGATTGATTGCTATTCCTGTGGTAGATAGTACTGTGCTTTAACGAACGGCGTTGTTGGGAGAAAGATTGAGACCATAAGTGCGCTGCCTCACAGCTCCCATCCGGGGGCTACGCCGAAGACCCTCCCCCCCCCCCCCCCC